GGATTTAGAAAAGGACTGAAAGGTGGGGTGGGGGTCTTCATGGAGGTTTAGAATTTCGGTGTCTGTGGCTTGGAGGGACAGAGCAAGAGGGAAAGGAGGTGTGGACACATAGCGTTAGTCTGGAAGTCCAGGGCGCAGGGTGGGGAGGGAATACGAGGTCGTGGTCCAAACCCGGGTGTATCTTAAAAGATGAACTTTATTCCGCAACAAACAGCAATCCCCCTTATCATGGAAAGCTTTAGGACAATGAAAAATCGTTGGTGGGAAGCGTGTTTTCGATCAAAGTGTAAACTGATGGGTTTTAAACAAAAAAAATCCAGGAGCAGGCTCATGGTTGCAGCATGGAGACCTGTGCAGGTTTCTGGTCCCCGGCTCCTCGTTCTTCTTTGGGACCAAACATGAAGATTTTGAATTGAGGCAGGTGGCGCAGCCGTCGGTCGCCGTCCCCGCAGTAGCCACCTCCCACTGTCCAGTCCCCAAACCTCCCTCCTCTCCCGGGTGTACCTGCCCCGAGCCGGGCCCCGCCCGGGCCGCGACGAAGGAAAGCCGCAGTCACAAGCGCCGTGAGTGGCTGGCGCTGGCCGGCCGCATAAACCGCTAGGCGGGGTCTCTATGATGGTTGACGGACGCCGTGGCCAATGAGATCCAGGCGCTTGTTTCCTCCCTCAACCTAACTTCTGTGACTGACAGTTCACCCGGGCTCTGCGAGGTAAGGAGGAGGGTCCGCCGCTGCCCCACCCGAAGGAAATGTTTTTGATTGGCAGGGCCGAGAGCTGCTGGCTCCGGCCCCCGGAAGAGCATCGCTGACGGACAGGTGTGGGACCCACTTGGAGCCGGGAAGCTGGGGCGGAAGCGCCGGTAGCCAGAGGGGCGGAGCCCGACGCCGGGGCCCGGGCGGGGCGGGGAGCGAGCCTCGGCCGGGGCGGGCGCAGTGGTGGCTGGAGATGCTGTCGGCTTGCGACGGCGACTGGGGGCCTAGAGCTTGGCACTGAAGGCAGCTGGTAGGTCCGTGGGAGCTGAGGACTCGTTCCTGGAGCTCTCGTCAGGCCTGGCATTTGTGTGACCGAGACGGCGGCGGCAGCGCAGAGCCCCGGGGGCCGCCGGGCACCTGTCCTTGTTGGTAGACACCTGCTGCGCGCTGCTCGCTGTCCGGGGTGGGCCGGGGGCTGCGGCAGAACCGGGTGGGCAAGCTCGGGAGAGGGACGGAGGCCCGTGTGCCTGGGCCGGTGCGGGTCCTGCTGTCTCCTGCCCACTCCCGCTGCCCCTGCGGAAGGGGGCCGTCCCCGAGCCCGGGAGGCCCTGTGCCCCGGCCGGGGGTGGGAGTGGGGGCCCTCGGCCCCGGGCCGGCCGTGAACCCTCTCCGTAGGAACACTGCGAGGCCAGGATGTGATCCCTCCTTGTAACGCCCCGAGACAGGTTTGTCCAGATTCTCTGCGTGCGCGGAGCCGGGTCCGCCCCTGGCCAGGGTGCAGGTCCGAGGGCCGCAGCCCTCCTGCGACCGGGGTCTCGGGTTTTTGCCTTTTCCCCATCCTCATCACTTCTCTACTTGGAATTTCTCAGACGTCTTTCTGGATGTTGTCTACGTTAATGCCTTTGGAGGCACTGCGATCTTTGCAAACAGCAGCGCTTCTCTCTGGCTTGGGCTCATCAATGATAAGGGTCTCGGCAGTTTAAAGGAAAGCGATCATGGGTTTTGGGTTAGTTGTTTTGTTTCTTTTCCCCCCCTTTCCTATGGCATAACTAGAAGAAATTCTGAAATTGTTCCCAGTGGCTAGGACACATTCTTGAATCTTCCTGCCATCTAAGTCACTACTGTTGTTTGAAAGTGCCCAAAAAGCACACTGCAATATCTTTTTGGTGATTGTGTTGCTGCTGGGAACATTTTATTTTAAAAATATATTGGGGGGAGGGGGGAAAATCTATTGCAAGACGAGGCAGTATTCGACAAAACCTGTTGCTTAGGCTCCGAGTCTTAAAAGCAGAGCCCTACACTGTTGTAGAATGAGGCTGACATCGGGGTGGGGATAAGACTGAGAAAAACTGGATGAAATATGTTTACGGCATTGAAGTCTATGGGGGAGAGAATAGTTTAAAAGTATTATATTTTAGGGCATTATGTTTATCGTAAAAGTACGGAATGGGGGTTGCAAAGTGGATTATATTTGAGGTTGGGGGATGTGCGTAGGGGATTGTGTACCA